ATCAGTAACCAACACCGTTACCAATACTCCCCCTCGACTAGAAGTCTCTGATCCTGGCCTTGTCCAGCAGCGACTCGAACTTCTTTGTCGAAATCGGTTTGGTCAGAAAATCTGCCAGCTGTGACTTGGTTTCAGTATACTGCAGGTCGATAATCTTGTCTTTCACCTGTTCGCGCACAAAATGGTATCTGATGTCGATATGTTTCGCTCGACTTTGATAGCCGTCGTTCTTAGCGATAGCGATTGCACTCTGGTTGTCTTCGTGAATCTTGACAGCATAGTTAATCTGCACTTGCATCTCCTTGAGTAGACTTCTTGTCCACAGAACCTCCTGCACACATAAAGAAAGAGCCATATATTCTGCTTCTGCCGTGCTCAGTGCCACGCTCTGCTGCATCTTCGACTTGAAAATCACAGGTGCGCCATTAATCATGATAAAAACTCCCGAAATCGATCTGCGATTCCACTTGTTACTTGCCCAGTCTGCATCGGTGTACGCGCTCAGCTGAAGATTGCCTGAAACTCCTTCATAACAAATTCCTTTGCTCTGCGTCGTCTTCAGATATCGCAACACTCGAATCGCTGCATTCCAGTGCTCTTCATGTGGAAATTCCAAATGACGACTCAGCTGACATACTGTATACGCAATATCTGGTCGTGTGCCTGTTGCCACATACAACAACGACCCCACTAACGATCGATACGGTCGATTCTTCATTCTTGTGTCAGCTTTGTCCATCTTGACCATCGCTTGCCCTTCAACACTTGGATTTGACACTGCTTTCGCATCAACTTGATTAAATTTCTCGACCATTCTTGATATACACGATCCTTGACTGATCTTCAGACGTCGATTGTTGCGCAGGTACTTGACTTCGATTCCAAGAACGTATCGAACACCCCCCTAGTATCTTCAACTGGAAACGACTTGATAGTTGAGCTGCCACATCTTCCATCACTCCAGTAGATTCAGCCCCAATTAGAAGGTCGTCCACATATAATGCAGCGTAAATCCACGAGCCCTTGGTCTCTTTGACGAAAATGCATGAGTCTGCCACGCATGAAGAGAACCCCATCTCCACAAACACACACGAAATTGTCTTGTACCATGTAGCGGCCGCTTGTTTCAGCCCATACAGACTGCGATTCAGCTTAAGCACTTGATTATGTTCTGCACGAACACCCAGAGGAGGGTATACGTATACCTCTTCTTCCAAAACGCCATACAGAAAAGCAGTGTCGACATCATATTGATGAATCAAACATCCCCTTTTGACAGCACACCGCCAAAAACACCCGTATTGAGTTGAGGTTTGCCACAGGTGAATATGTCTCCATGTAGTCAACTCCATACGTCTGCCTGTAGCCAAGTGCTACAAGACGTGCCTTGTATCGAATAATCTCACCCAGCTCGTTTCGTTTGAGTGCGAACACCCACTTGGTTCCAATCACTTTCTGGTTTGGACGCTGTATTTGAACAGTCCAGGTGTCCTTTTCCTCTAATGCCTTGAGCTCAGCTTGAATGGCCTTGTACCAATTATCACGACGAGGTGACTTAAGAGCTTCTTCGTATGTCGTTGGGGTCTCGAACGCTGCACATGCTTGCTCATACCCAATACGTAGTCTCTTTGTGCCTTTTTCTTGACACACTTCTGAGCCGTCATAAAAGTCCTCATCAGCACCATTCACTGGTATTAACGCTTGAGATTGTCCATGTTGAACCGATTCTAGTGGAACCATCGCGGTTTCTTGCGATGCTTGAATACTTGTCTGTCGACTTGGTCGTATCACCATCTGTCCTTGTCTTGACACGTCTTCAGCCGATTCTTGATCTTCTTCAATCATCGTCACATCATCAATTTCAAACATTGGATCGTCAGCATTGGAACCCACGTGTTCAGGCATCTTGCTACTGCATCTTGATGGTAGAGCCATCGTTGTTGTACGCCTGTCTTGCATGTGACTCTCTTCTTGAACACTGTGACTGTCCTCCATTGCTATGTCCATGTCTTTCGTGACTCGTGGCTGTTCTAAATCGATAGAAACAGTGTCTTCGTCATGAACAGCGCGAAACTCTTGGTCACTTGATCTGCTGTAACGTTGCACGTACTGAAGTGGTGGTCTCTCATCGAATTTAGCCGATCTCGTGTGCGTCACCCTCTTGGCATCTTCATCCCATATTCGAAGCCCCTTGATTTGATCCGAGTAACCTAGAAAAATACATCGAATCGCCTTCTTGGTCATCTTGGTCCTGTTCGACTTGTCGACATGTGCATATCCCTTTGATCCAAATACACACATCTCGGAGAGGTCAGGCTTCTTCCCGAAGATGAACTCAAATGGAGTTTTAGTCGGGTGACTAGCACATGGAACTCGGTTTGTCACATAGACTGCCGTGTTCATCGCCTCAGCCCACCAAATTTTATCCACTTGCATATGGCTGAGCATTGCTCTGGCCCGCTCTGTCAGTGTCCTGTTCATGCGTTCGGCCAGCCCATTCTGTTGTGGCGAATAGGGTACCGTCGTCTGATGCATGATACCAGATTTTCGACATACACCGGAGAAACGTCTGTTGACGTATTCCGTCCCGTTGTCCGTCCTGATACACTTGATCTTCTTGGACAGTTGATTCTCCATAAGTGCCTTATACTCTATAAAGCGATCCGTCACTTCCGACTTGTTCTCAATATAGTATGCGACTATATATCTCGAATAATCATCAATAAAAGTCACGACAAATCTTGATCCTCCTCGAGACTTCGATTCCATAGGTCCCATGACATCACTGTGGACCAACTGCAACACCTCCTTGGTTTTCACGTGTCCGTATGGTGACTTCGGAAACGTCTTGACGGTTGCTTTACCCATGATGCACCCTTCGCAGATCTCGATATCATCTTCAACGCCTTGATTCTTCTTGATCTTTAATCCATTGACGCAACCTGCCATACCCTTGAGCATCTTCGTTGACAGGTGACCTAATCTTGCATGCCACACTTGTAGATCAGCCGCTCCTGATCCGTCACTTGATTCTTGCTCTTGAGATGTCTCTCCGCAAACGTTGGCTACCTCAGCCGGACTGCACTCTAAGACGTACATCTTGTTTCGTCTTGGTATTTGGGCAACGACTTCCGTGTTACTTCTGATCTGACAGCTCAGATCTGAGAAGATCACTTGTAGACCCCTCTTTGACAATGCCGATATTGACAGTAGCCTTCGGTCTAGGCCCGGCACCCATAGCGTTTCTTCGATCCTGATCACTTCACCAGTCTTGAGTTGCACGCGCACTGTCCCAACACCTTGCGCTTCCACTTCGCTGCCGTCTGCTATGGTGATCATGATCGGGTCCGTCAGTGAGTTTAAATTCGAAAACTCATTTCTGTCGGGACACATGTGGCTGCTTGCCCCACTGTCCAATAACCATCCAGCTGACGTCCGACTTGACGCAGTAAATGCTCTCTCTTCTCCAGATCGCTCTGTCTCCACTTGTTCAGCCTTGCAATCTTGACGCTTGTGCCCATATTTGTTACATCGGTAACACCTTCCCGAAAACTTTTCACCTCTTGAACTTGATCTCCCCATATGTCTGCGCGGACCTTTCTTGTACTTGGAAGTGTGCGTACTTTTCAGTGCGATTTCTTGGTGTTCTGTCCTCGCCATTCCATCGTACTCCCGTCTCAGCATTTCCTTAGCGTGAAACAGTGTCATTCCGGGCATGTTCTCAATTATCTTGACGATAGGGTCATAGTCTCTCGTTAGACTACCCAATAGGATGACCAAATGCTCATCCTGTGAGATCTCTTGTCCCACAGCTTGCATAGTCATGCACAGCTCGTCGACTTTCGGAAAGTGATCCATAATGCTTCCTCCCTTCGCCAACCTGAACTCATGTTGTTGCCGCCGCAACTGCACACGATTGTGCATACTTTGCCGCAGGAAGAAAGTCTTCAGTATGTCCCATGCTTTTGCCGTTGTCTCTGCCGTGCGCACCATTGACTGAAGATTTGTGCTGATCATTGTGGACACAATCGCGAAGGCCTTCATGCCGTTGAATTTCCAAGTTGACGCGCTTGCGTCTCCTTCTTCTGGGGCCTTCATAGCGTCTAGGTGCTCTAGCAATCCCTTCTTTGCCAGCCTCATCCTTGCGTTGAACTCCCACACGAAGTAGTTATCTTCGCGGAGTATGTCGCCCGCATCCGGCGTAGTTGGGCTCATAACCTTTTGACTTTTGGCAACAGCCAAGAGCGAGTTGAGGTGGGAGAGCTTAGAAGAAGGTAAAATGGAAAGTGAATTATCATCTAGCTAGGTCCTTAGTTCGTCTCGTTGTACTACTCTAAGCCTATCGATATCGACTCTATAATATTAGTAACAAAACGATGAGTCGATCCCATCGTTACACACTATCACACAGTGTCGTCCATGACATATGGTCATTAGTATCAGTAACCAACACCGTTACCAATACATACTCGTCTCGCTGGCTCAGACTGCTTGGCTCGATACTGCGGGCATCACAGGGGACACTCCGCCTAGGGCACGTGGAGAGTCGGACACAATCTTGAACGAGGGGGATCGGTGATGAGATCAGACGGGCAACTGCAACAGCTTCCACATGAATGGGTGCACGACGTTGTACCCTGTCGAACGTTGCACCCTGTCTGAATCTACCTGTCTCAAGGTGTAGCAGGGACACGAGCGCAAATTTGTATGACGGGCGCATTGCGCTACGTTGTGACGCACGCATGACGAATCATGGAATACGTGTCTTAGGTTTTGTATGCATTGGACACTAACCTCCTCAGCCAGCGATCAGACGTGTCCCAGCTCCTTTGCGTGATCTTTTCGTGCTGTGCCGTCCACTTGGCGCTGGCTCATTCTACAACAAAAATCTGCCCGTCATCTCCTTCACCACTTTCTCGATCGTCTCAATTGTCATTTCGGAATTCACCTCCTTCACCACAAGCGCACCTTCGACCACTGACACTCCTCTGACGTAAGCCATGATCTGTTCGCTCCTACTCAAGACCGCGACGTTGGTGTCGTCAACTCTCCTGACGTCGGTCGGATCCACTTACGTGAGTCAAGGGGGGGTCGTCACCCTCTCGCATCCGTCTGGCTCCTTTGCGAAGATGTCCACTCACGGTGCGACCGTGTTCTCCTTTAGCCCGGCTTATGACCCGTACGGGGACGTACTGGTCATGTCCAACGATTCGGTCTATGACGGCATTAAACCCCTCAGTGGCGGCATTACTGTCGTGTTCCCGAACCGTGACGTCTCCAAGGACTATCCCGTTCCTGAGCTCGGGTTTGCTCGTGTCAGCAAATGGACCCTCGAAAACGTGGACCTGACGAGTGACAAAAACTCGTACAGTTCTGCCATGTTCCGCTTGGAATCCAGTGAGAACACCCGTCGGATGTGGCCTTTTGATTTCAGGCTGGTTTACGAGGTGCGATTGTACTCTACTTGTCTCGAAACGGAGCTGACCGTGATGAACATTGGCTCCAAAGGCATGGTGTTCCAAGCGCTGCTGAACAACCACTTCTATGTCAACGACGTCCGCAACAATGGTGTGGAGGTTTCGGGCCTTCAGGGCGTCGAGTACTTCGACCGGGTGACGGGGAAAACCCAGAACGATATGCGTGAGAGCTTCGGCATCATGTCACGAGTCGACAACCTCTACAAGGACGTCAAGAACGACGTGACCGCCACCATCAAGGGTGCAGGATACACCAAGAAGGTCGTCGTCGAGAAATCCGCGCTGCTCCATACTGGTACCGTCCCACCGGTCCCCCTCAGTACTGACTGCGTCGTCTCGAACCCCTGGAATAAAGATACCAAGAGTGACTTCAGTAACGAGGAGTACATTCACTTGGTCGCCATTGGAGTTGGGACAGTGAGTGGAAAGGTCGGGGTTCTTCCTGATGATTCGTACACTCTGAACCAGGTCATCAAGGTCTCGAGGTACCCGTAGGCAGTGCCCCACAGTGGTCGTGTGTGATGTAGCATTGTGCAGTTGCAACGTGGCTGCTTGAGCTTAGACGCTTATGCACTTAATGCTTAATCATGAACACACGTTTACAGTCGCTTTCTTGTGCTTAATGTTTTATCTTCAGGTTAGAGAAAGCGTTTGATCCCCCCCACTTGTTTACGAGCGTTCAGGCTGTTTACAGTAGAACCTATCGATTAATATTGTCTAAATTAAAAAAGCCCTGAATTGATGATAAAATCCGTCCAAAGTTCAGGCCCATGCAACATTTAATAAGCCTCTGTATTTAAATATCAATTACAATTTAAGTTCTTATTTTTTAAAAAGAAATCGAATAGCTTTTCCTTAGAAAAAGTGTTGGCACTGTAAAGTGATGTGAAGTACTGCCTAAACACGACTAAAGAAGTCTCGTTGTCAGGCTGAACCATTTAATTTGTGCGGATCGCCCCGACTTCGTCCTTCACTCGCTGTAGTGACTTGATAAAAGTCTGGGCATCACCATCATGTTGCAGCCAGAATGTCTCAAGTAACTCAGTTGCCTTCTTAGTATCCATGACAGCAATTTTAGGCTGTTCCTGGCTGTCATCCTGCTCATCCTCAGGCTGATCAAAAGGTGGTCTGCTATGATGTCACTTACGTCCGGAATGTACGATATAATCCGCTCAGCAGGATAATCGAGCAGGTTGCGGATGTACACCATCTTGGGACACTTAAAGCGTCCAATCTGATGTTACACTTCTTTCGTAACTTAATTGTCAAGGCACTGCCCCTCGAGGACTGGTGAAGCATCAGCTGGGCCAGATATTGCACTGTTAAAAATACTTGTCGATAGTCTCAGTGCTTCCATCGTTTGCCGATACTGAGACTGACATCTGGATAGCATTAAGGATGTGAATCTTTGCCGGCTGTGAACTACACCATTGTCAAGATCTGAAGGAGCTACGGTTGAAGCTGCGTCAGTAGTATGATTTGAGTTTCGTATGATTCCTCGGTCACTAGGCTGGAGTCTTGATGTCATATTGAATAAAGGCTAGTGGACTGTCGTGTAGCGAAATGCGAACCGCTGGGGCAAATCAGCAAGAGGGACGTGTGTACTGCAGTTGTCCAGTATCTGCAACACCTTGCGGTTTGCCAACCTTTGATCAAAGTTCCTTAGCCTCTCCAAGAAGATGATAGGTGTCATTCGGGCTTTCTTTTTGTTGCGTTACTGACAGGCAAGGTTCTGGAGATTGACATGGCGGAAGCAGCGAGGAGCGGCGTACTTGCCCACGATCCACAGGGCCATTTTGTCGGACCCATTTATCGTTGCAGCAGACAGCCACAGTAATCCGTTCCTTGTTTTGCGTCCTTCTCTCCAGTTGCCGCGTTCTTAATGAATTGTCAGCCTGAAACATAAGGGATAATTTAGTCAAAATACGAAAAAAGGTTTGACGTCCTTTGCAGAGCGCTTACATGCATCCGACAGAACAATCCAGTCTCATCTGTGGTGAAGTAATGATCGCTCATTTCTTTAGACGATTCCGACTCTCCACTGGCGCCCAGACAACCGACGAACGGAGGGGGTGCTCCGATATCGTGTAGAGTGCTTTCCTCACCTTGCGTACCCGTTGGTAGGTCGGGTTGCACTCTTACAGGTAAGCTCGTCTCGAGGGAAAACATGACCGTGTCGGAAGTCTCTGTGTGATCGGGCGAAAATCTTCGCACGATCACTAGGGTTTCGGTGGGGTACCGACATAAGTTACCCTGATCTCAACGAGATTGTCTTGCCCACTGTGTGAGTTCTTGATCCGCACGCCTTCTGACCACTTAATCCGTCTCGCAAATATGTGCCTTTCCTTTACGTGTCTTGCTGCGTCCGATCGCAATTTTTGTTATCTGAGCATTCTTGAACGCACCTCGCCAAACAATCCAGGTGCGACACTTATATAATTGGGAAACGCGACTCTTTATTGGTCGGGAGGCCAATTATCCTGCCCGGAAGAGGTTGCGTGCGTCTTATGAAGTTAGTTAAATTCTATTTAATGCTAGCCAATTGACCTTAATCTATCCCTCTGCATTGTCCGTATATCCTAACCGGATGCCACGCGTCCCTGTTCCAGAAAGATCGTCTTCTCGTATTGGTGTGGCCCACATCAGGTATATCGGCAGTAGAATCTTCTTGTGGTTCACCCGAGATATCAACAACAGTTTATCTCGGGTCCTAATCCCAGGTCCGGATCGTGATCTTGGTCCGGATCGTGATCTTGTGTCCAGATCGCGATCCTAGGTCCGGATCGTGATCTTGGTCCGGATCGTGATCTTGGTCCGGATCGTGATCTTAGGTGCGGATCGTGGTGGTGGATCCGGATCATGATCCTAATCCAGGATCGTGGTGCTGGGTCCGGATTATGATCCTAATCCAGGATCGTGATCCCTAGGTGAGGGATCACGAATCTTTCCTTGCCCTGTCTCACGATGAATCACGCAATCCAACTGGTCCCACTGTCATCTATCCTTGTTTCAAGTAACATAGATATTGCTAACTGGGGGTAGGTGCGCTGTTGCTAGCCACCCGTCCTAGTTTTTGTTCACTAATCATAACGCTATGGACCGAGCTATGGTGTGCGATATGCCCAATCCTTCCCTCCAACTAAAAGGTAAATTTCCTTGTGACCGCTTTGCCACACATCCATTTGTAGATATCCTTCCATTCGTACTGATTGAGGACCTCACGTCGAGAAGAAAGTGCATCCTCCACAGCAACCATATTCAGCTTCGTTTTCCCCGAAGCGGCGATATGAGCGTATTCCTTGGCGATCCTAAAAGGATTCCAGCCATCCATTTAAAAACCGAAACGGCTCATTTCCTGGACGAAGATACTTTAAATTCGCTCGGCAGTTCACAGACAAGTTCTCTGCTGACATTGATGCAAGACTGTTAGGCAATGAACCAATTTAGCAGAGCTGATTTCATCAGCGAATACCTGACGGAACGCTGACGTTTAAAACTCATGCTGCTCTCCTCTGGAAGCCGAAGAGGTATTTTCTTCCTCTTCAGCGTGTTGGATAATTTTGCCTGTCATACCCATAGCCAATGGTTGTCCTATAGCCAGTTGACAAGATGAGCCTGAGTCAGTGCCGGATGTTTGGCATGATATTTGCACAGAGCCACACGGACATCGTCCGTCATTGTGGTGTGACGTGCTCCTCTCAGAGGCATTGTCGATATGCTGCTGAGTTTTTCCAGGGGAATTAGGAGGAAGATCTGAAGACTTAGGCTGAGCACTGGAATGTGAATGAAAAGTGAATATAATCGGGTCTTTTGTTCACAAACTCCTGATGTTTCTTAAAGCCTGATGAATTCAGCCTTTACGTTAGCAATCGCCACATCGCGCATTGCTTTTTCGTCTAGTCGTACGTATCTAAGTCTGTTCGTAAGTTCTACAACACCACACCGTACCTTAAGTGGAGGACGTCATGTCTGGCAGGACGGTGCTGGTGACCCCCAACACCAGGCCCGAAGGTTTAACTTTCTCGTCTATATTCCATATCGGTATCGAGCCAGTGACCATCGGGTTGGCACTTCCATACCAAACTGGCTGAGTTACAAAACCCTTTATAAAAAAAGCCTTACACTCATTCAAACAGCCCTCTAAAAAACAAAGAAAAAACTATTTGGAGGAGTGCTACAACATGTTCTTAGTTAGTTCCTTTATAAATTACCAGGAAAGGAACCTAGTACTATTGATTTCCACAGGATCTCACGTATTTAAATCAGAAATTAGGCAAAGAAAACGCTTTTTAGCTTAAAAAGAGTGGACAAGGTGCGAAGCAGTTGTACCAGTGTGTTGTCGTGCAATGAAAATGAGGAGCTGGAACCGAAATCTCGCCGAATGGATATACGATGCTGCAACAGCATGCTGATTGTAGCAAGGCGTGACTGAAATCTGCTTGACAGCGACAACAATTGTGCAAACGAACATTATCAATCAGGTAGCAAGTACATAATTTAAACTGGAAGGTGATGCTAATACTGCTTTTGTAACGGGGCGCCCTTTTGCTTTGGTGGCCACGAAACTTTACGTACACTCGCACGTGCAGAGGAAGATGAATCTACTTGAACTGCTAGTTTAAGTAAAGGAAAAAAGAGAATTGTGATTATTGCAATTAAGCTATTATTATAACGTTAATATTTATCTTGCTATATTAGTCTATGTTGTCGCATGACGACAACCTGCTCGCCACCCATTGCGCGCACCTAGCAGCGACTGATGGTTGTCTTGGTTGACACGTCTTTTATCAATTAATCTTTGAGCAGCGCATTAATATTATCCTACAAGGGGATAATAATTTTTCAGTATTATCTATATCAGGTGAAATTGGCAGGAGATTGTCACGCTTAACAATCTCCATATTGACACCTTTTGGTGTCAATATCATGTAACGGGCTACCTTGTAACAGCTTTGCTGCTTGAAGCTCTGCAAGCTCAGACGCACCGGCATAGTTGTCCAGGAGGCTAAGCTCCGTTGGAGACAAAATGGGATGGTGCTTCCGACAAGACGGTTCGAAGCTACAACTTTTAATCAGGTATTAACAAACCAGTAGCAACTTTTAAGTCGGGTATTTGCTCGCATATAGTTAAATGTACGCCAGATTGCCGTGTGGCGCCAACAAATTGCGTAGCACTCATGATGGTACAAACAACATATTCGAAAAATTATGAGGTAAGTCAAAATTGTATGAATTCTTTGACCATTGACCTGGAGGGACATGACTTCAGTAGCCCTGATCGCGTCAATGCCGACTGCTACTTATAAAATTTTCGAAAATTTGTCGCATTGGCTCAACGCAATAAATTGTTATCGATTACTTGACGAAAGCCTCTCGTGTCATATCAGCACACGAGTCGAATGGCAATGTCGCAGTAGTAATTGCACAACTGCAGACCACTAGAACTGGATAAACGCACGGCGTAGTAGATTTTGAATATCACGCATACTAAACGA